TCTGTCAGAGGCCTGGTGAGGGAGCAGATTGACCCAGTGTTATTTGCCAAGCCTTCAAAGGGGAAGAAGAAGTGAATTCACTAGGACAGATTGCTAATGTGCAGCCTCTTATATCCTGCCTTCTTTGGACTCCTGACCAATATTCCCATTAATATTAAAGGCTCATTTTTTAATAACCTAAAAAAAAAAAAAAAAAAAAAAAAAAACTCCAAATTTGAATTAGGTTCTTTATATTCAGTGTGCTTAACATCATTTCATCTGTTCTTCAGGACCAAGGATAACCCCTACCCCTGATAACTGCTTGCAGTGTGCAGTGGCCTGAAGTTGGTTTGTCCCCCAGAGTCCATATGTTGTGGCAGTGTTGGAGGTGGTGGTACCTTGTTGATGTGCTGTCCACCAAGAGGCCTTGATCATTGGCAGTGTTCCCTGAGAAGGGATAGGGTAATTCTTGTAACAGGATTGCTAGAAAAGCCCAACCCTGGCCTTGCGGTCTGACTTCCTGCTTGAGATGTGTTCCTTTGCTTCTGCACACACGGCCGCCATCGGCCTTTGCCATGGTGTGACCAGCTGAGAGGGCCCTCACCAGAGTCACATTGAACCCAGCTCCATGCCCTTTAATATCCAGAACTGCAAGATAAACTGTTCCTCAATAGAGTGCCTCAGTTATGTTGTGATAAGAAAGAGACTGGTATACTGCTCAATGATCAGTGTTACTTCTAGTGAAAAAAGAGTAGTAAGAGAACATAGTTCAGTATAAAAAATGAAACTTCCAGTAAAACTCCTGTGTGAAAGGGTCAAGAGCATTGCAATGTTTATACATTTGATTCAGTAATTTTACTTTGCTCAATCAAGTTGAACAAATTAGATTTTTAAATATATACACATTGGTCAGTATAATTAAATGAGGTATATATTTTCATGATTATAACTTGTTAAAAATTAGGTTTCTTTAATATTTGTAATATGTTATGACAAATTATTCATGGTAATTGGCAGAGAGCAAGGTCAAATTTTGGGGTAAATTAATGTAGTTGGAAGATAAAAATTATAGAGTGGTGAACAGTAGTTGGTGAATTCTCAATTCTCATTTTCTTTAACCTTTCTCCACGTTTCAAATTGTATTAGTAAATGTTAATGGCAGGGACACATTGCTTTTTTTTTAAACAATTTTATTTATTTAGGGAAGTGTCAACAGGGTGTTCAGGGTCTCACTACTACGTTGGACTCTAGTGATGTGCCTGTTTACAGCCTCCCAAGAACTGGAATTACAGGTGTGTGCCACCACGCCCAGTCTTAGTTGCTGTCTCAGCATACCACTGGACCAGGGCCAGCATGGCAGGCCTGGGGATCGAATCCAGGCCTCTGTGCCTGCTTGCAGGCGCTTTAGTCTGCTGAGCTATTTGGCCAGCCCCACATTCCTTTTTCTTGTGTTAACTGTGGTAGAAGGTAGCAGTGTCATTTTGGAAGCATAGTACCACACCCCATTTGAAAATTGCTTAATGCAGTGTAAATAGGAGGCCTTCATGAGAGTTTAGCCAGCTTCTGCGCTGCCTGCATTACCCTGGTGCCTGTGGTTTCCTAATGAAAACTAATCAAGGTGCCATTTGCCAATCTTAGGAGATGATTGGTTTTCATCTCTTCTGAATCCAAAGGAGATAGGAGCAGGGCTGAATACTTTCATTTGTTGAATAACTCCTTCGTGCTGATACTTCATTTCGTGTTCGCAGGAAAACAACCTGGGGGCTCCGTGTTTTCCCCTTTTTACAAGTGAGGGAATTTGAAGGCTGAGAGATTGAGTGCCTTGCCTAGAGTCACACAATGGGTGACTGCCATTGTGGAGATTTCACCCCAAATACCCACTCTCTGAGGGTCATGCTGTCTTCATCATTGCTCTTAAGCAAGTTTTGTAGTTCTGTGTTTTGGATAATTCTTGGTGAGCGGATTTTAGCTGGTTGAGCTTACATTCCCAGTGGAGCACTTTTTTGAACTTGTACAAGGGACTGAATTAGAAAATGGCATCCAAGCAGAGCGGGCACTATCATTGCAGGCTAATCTCTACAGGTATGTTCGCCAACACTGATGTACTTGCTCGGTCTTAGTTTTGCTTCTTTTTATTCAGGTCATGATCCATCTCCAGTCAAATATGTTGGAACCCCTCATGGAGATACTACAAGGTGCTGCAAAAGGAAATGTGTCCCAATTTGTGAAAAGATATGAGTTCTCTGAGGAAGTGGTGAGTATGCAGGTGTGAAAAGGCTTCTTAAGGTGCCCCACCCAATTTCTTAATTCTATGACGTCCCCCCTAAAGAGGTTGTCAGATAGGACACCTTTCATGTGAATGCAGAGATTTTTTTCTTCCAACAGAGTATGTCCTGTGAACTTCTGGAAAAACGTTTATTGGGACTGTTTTCACTGGTCTTCTTACCCTTTTCTTTGGGAAGACCTTTTCCCTTTCCACACCCCCAGTACCTTCATCTTCTCTCTCACACTCAGTTAGTGACCTGGGAAAAACAGAAGCAGTGAGGGAGAGAATGGCGCCACGCTGTCTGTTCTGTATCTTCTTCCTGTCCACCCATGGACCCTGGGCTGCAGCTCTGCAGCCAGTCTCTGCATCGGGGTTCTGGCCGCCCTACCCTGCAGTTCTTCAGGCTCAGCCTTGGCTTTGTCTTACTCATGGGCATCATCAGTGTCTTCTTCTTTTTAGCAGATGGTAGCATCTCTCATCTTTAAAAAAAAAAATCTGTCCTACAAATGAAAAGATATACTACATGTTTAGGTTAGGTTCAACCTCATACAATTTTTTTTTAAAATGTATTTAGTATAAGAACTACAGGGTCTCACTACACAGATCAGACTCATAGTGATCCTCCTGTTTTTAACCTCCCAAGTGCTGAGATTACAGACACACACCACCATGCCCAGTCTTGGTTGCCATCTCAGCAATCCCTGAGGGCAGGGCTGTCACAGCATGTGGTGCTGGGGATCAAAACCCGGTCCTGTGCTCTGCCTACGTAGGCAGTTTAGCCCACTGAGCTATCTTGCCAGCCCTTCAACCTCATATAAAAAGTCAGTGCTTCTAAGTTAATGTGTTATCCCAATCATTAAAAAAAAAAAAAAAAAAAAAAAAAAAATCGCTTCTTTTTTTGTAGTTTAAATCCCATTGAAGGAAACAAGCAAGAACAACTAGGAAAATCTGGTAACAAAAAAGCAAAATAAATACTAGGCCTAGCAGATGTTAAAGCTTCTGTTAGCAGACTGGCTTAGCTCTGATTAAGCTAACTAATGGGACAGAGCAGAAAATGCAGAGATAATTGCATATACAGAGTTAGAAGAGGGCAGAGGTTAGCATCTGTCATCAATCAGTGTACATGGACTTTTCTAAAAAGTGGTGCTAGGGGCTGGGGAGATAGCTCAGTGGTCTAAGCGCCTGCCTGGCAAGGGCAAGGACCTTGGTTCCTTCCCTGTCCGCAGGACTGCATGCTGTGCCAGCCCACTCCTGGGCCCACCGAGCCAGCCTCAGAAACTGGGTGTGGTCATGCATACCTACAATCGTAGCACTGGGGAAGCTGAGACAGAAGGATCACTGTGGGTCTGAGCTGCATAGACCCTATACCAAATACATTTTTTTAAAAAAGTGGTGCTAGGATAAGTTGATAGCCAGTAGAAAGCAGTTAAGTTTCAAATGAGTAAGACTTTAAATTTTAAAAGTGAAATAACATGAGTACTAGAAATAAGCATTAATGAATTCTTTTATGTTCTGAGGATGGGAACTCTTAGTCAAAACCCAAGGCAATAAAGAAGATTGATAAATTTTTAAATTAAAAAAGTTTTTTGGTACAATTGACTGCTTAAATTTATTTATTTATTTATTTTTTGCCAGCTCAGCCCACCCTAGGGGTGGGGCTAGTGCAGCACATGGTGCCATGGATTGAACTGCGGTCCTTGCCCTTTGCCTAAGAGGCACTTTAGACTGCTGAGCTATCTCACTGGCCCAACTGTTTGAAGTTTGTAAAAACTTTTTTGGTATGGGAGAAACACCGTAACAAAGTCAAATTCCAACAAATTGGAAGAAAGTATTTTAAATGTTAACCATAAGAACAGCTGTTAATCCTTATATAAAGGACTTTTTAAAAAAATTGTGAGAGGGCTGGCCAAATAGCTCAGCGGATTAAAGCACCTGCAAGAAGGGGCAGGGGGCTCGATCCTCGGACCTGCCATGCTGGCCCCGTCCCCAAGGCATGCTGAGATGGCAGTAGAGACTGGGCGTGGTGGTAGGGGCCTGTAAATCTAGTAGTGAGACCCTGAACACCCTGTAGACCCTTCCCTAAAAATACAGAAAATAAAATTGTGAGAAAAGTACCAACAACTCTAAAGAAAAATGGGTAAGTTTGTGAAAGAAGGATCAGGAATGACCATCAAACATTTGAAAAGATGCTCAGCTTATGTGAAGGCATATAAAATGTAATTACCTTGTGTTATCACTCAGACTTTAGATGAGTAGAAACCATGACACTTTGACAGTTTATCAAAATCACCATTGAATTTACCTTTGGAGTCAGCCTCCCACTTCTTTGAAAATATTCCAAAGATACATAGGCAAGAACGCAGAAAGTTGTATGTATCAGGCTATTTGTTGCAGGCAAGTTTGTTATAGCAAAACACTGAGAATGACACACATTTTCATCTGTGAGGAATTGTTGAACAAGTCAGGGCACATTCATATGAAAGACTGCTGTGCCCCTCTAAAAAGAAATGTATAACTGCAGCACATAGTGCCATAGCCCACTTTAATATGTTATAAGTGACACAAGCAAGAGGAAAGTCTGGGTGTTGCTTTGTGCAGAGTCGATACATAGTTATGTGCACACCATCTTGTGCCACTACGCACAGGACAGTGGTCCTGTAGGCTGTATTGCCCAGGGACATATGGCGTACCATTTTGGCTTGTCTGTGTATATTCGTACATCCGCACTGTGATGAAGTTGCCTAATGACACATGTCTGAGATGATCTTCTCATCATTAAGTGACACAGCTCTATGCAGATTTGGATTTTTTGAAAAACAAAGCAGACAGAAATACCAAACCTAAAGCAAAACAGGATGGAAATGTGACTTCCCTCAATGTACTTCATTTGTATCTTTGACTTTAGAACAATGTAAATGTTTTGCAAAATTGCAAAACACAAAAATGAAGAGACCAAATCTAAAAGTGAAAGCAAAATGAAACAAATTAAACTCTTTGCCACATTGAGGATTTAAGTGGGCAAGGAGGAATTATTCCTGGTCATTTGAAATATGGCACTTGTGCATCTTTAATACCATGTGACTTTGGGAGAAAAGAACTGAAGAAATCATAAATTACTGACAGGGACCTTACTAGCCAGGAGGCTGGCACTGTCATCTTGACTAACAAAGTGGCCTGCTGGTCAGCCCTCCCTTCCTCCCTCCTTCCCTCCCTCTGCTGCTGCTCCTTCCTGTGCCCTCACAGTCCTGTTCCAGGCTGCTGGCCACAATGGCAGGATTGGCCTGAGTGGGCAGGCGGCTGCCTTCTCCCTCGTCACACAGTTGCCTTCCTGGCCCTGACCCTTAATTTCTTTGCTTCTGCCCAAAGGCTTCTTCTTTGTGCTTGTGAAGAGTTTGTCAGGAAGTGAACTGGATATGATTAACTTAACGCTTCTTTCTTTGCTGTGTAGGTTATGACCCACCCATACCATTTTGGAATAAGTTTAGAAAAGTGTGGGGACCGTGAACAGGCTTTAAAATGCAGCATCTGTGTGTATATGTGCACACTGAGGACGGGCAGCATGCGTGATGACATAGTACTGTTCAGCTTCAGTTTCTCAGCAGTGTTGATATGATTCATTCCTTAAACCTCAGCATTCATAACCTCAGCATTCAAACAAACCCCAAACTGAAAAATTATGATATTAGACTCCCTGACTAAGTGCATTCCCTCTGGTTATCATGAGACTATTCACGGAATTTTGTTTGAGGAGAAATGAATTGATTCATAGATAAATGAATTGACTTACCAATTCAAGTAGCTTTTTTTTTTTTTTTTTATTTGTATTTTAGGGAAGGGTCTATAGGGTGTTCAGGGTCTCACTACTAGATTGGACTCGTAGTGATTCTCCTGTTTACAGCCTCCCAGAAGCTGGGATTACAGGCGTACAACACTCCCAGTCTCAATTGCTGTCTCAGTGTGCCCTGGGGGCGGGGCCACAGGGGATCAAGTAGCTTTTGAGCTAATTCTAAAGGTAGATTTGAGAGACTACATGTGGAGTCTGATATTACAAAACTCTGCATTTTACAAATGCTGAATTTAATGTTTATTCTAAGAGTTATGAAAGATGTGTTCTATGTGGAATCAGGGCTATAAGCTATCATAGGCACTATTATATCACCTGAGGAATATTGAAAAGAATTGTTGATTTTCTCCAGTACTGTTATTGAAACCACTGAAGCATTAGCTCCTTCTTCATTGATTTCCTTTCTCAAACTAATTTGACAAATAGTGTGATATAGTCTCTTCTCTGCATGAGTCATAGCGTGGTTCTCCCATTATCAGCAGAGTTGTGTGGCAGTAGAACTTATGTAGTATGTGTAGCTCGATCCAAGCTCCCGCCAGCTTGACCTGTCCACTGCTTTTGGAGCCCATGTGTTGCATGGGCCGTCATTTCACCATCAGTGTGAGGGGTAAACAAGCTAATTCTTAAGAGCTCAAGCTCTTATCTGAGTGCTCAGTTGGGAGCCTTTGTTTGAAAGGAAGATGTGCAGCTTGGCAAATAGAATTTATGTGAAAGATGACCAGAAGATTTTTAGAAACCTTGATCCCACTTAACTTTCATTTTAAAACAATGTTAGATTATATGTTTTAATAAGGATTAAGCTAAGTAAAATGTTGATTTTTGTTCAGAAAGTTTTGCATTTTAATTCTGAGCTCACTCTTTTTTGCAGAATTAAATGCCATGTACCTTCTACTTATGTTCTGGTCTAGGCCCCCCTCCCCTCCCCTGATCTATACATCCATCTGTCTCCTCAAAACTGAGGAGAGCTCAGAAGCTTCAGTGCCTGCCTGGCAAGTTCAAGGTCCTAAGTTTGATCCCCCATACTGGGGGGAAAAAGAAAAATCCACCTCTGTGTTTTATTTTACAGGTATCTCAGTCCTGTCCAAACCAGAACTTTTTGTTTTTATATATTTAGTATAGAGCCTACAAAGTCTCACTATGCAGATCAGACTTATAGTGAACCTTCCTGTTTTCAGCCTCCCAAGCACTGCAATTATAGGCACATGCTACCATGCCCAGTCTTAGTCCCCGTCTTAGTGTGCCCCAGGGGCGGGGTTGGCACTGCAGGTCAGGGATCAAAGCCCTGGCCCCTGCGTCTGCCTAATCGGGCGCTTTAATCTGCAAAACCAGAACTCTTGAATTTCCCCTTCAAATTTGACCTTCCCTGACTGCCCTATCTTAATAAAAGATGGCACCTGTCAAATTGCAAAAGCCCAAATTAGGGACGTTAAATCCTGATAGATTAAACTTCTAGTTTCTCCACACACACTCCAACTTCTCTGTCATTTCTGTGTATTTCCTAATCTAAACTACCATCCTTTTCTGGGGTACAGTGGAGTCTCTGGAATGGTGTGCACATTCTTGTACCCTGCAGTTCATCACTATAAAGCTTTTAAATTCAGATCAGATCCTGACCCATTGCAGATGCCCTGAGGGCCTTTACAAATTCCAAAAAATGGACACAGGCTGTATATGAAACCCTATGTGATTTTTCCCTAGCTCCTACTCTAATCATTACATTGAACAAAGTGGACTGATAGTTGGCCTTCTGTGTGCTATGCTGCACTGTGATTGATATCACTTGAATGGCCTTTCTTAAGAGTATTGGGTGTGATTTTAAAGTACTAATTCTGGATTTTTTGGGTAGCTTGTGGACTCTCTTATAGTTCTTCACGTCTCTGGTGCCCAGTTCCCTTGTTTTCATCATTTCAAGTGTGCAATATTTATTTTCCACATGTCTGACTCTGCTGAGAGCGTAGAAAGGACAGTGATGATATCTTGCTAGTTATAGTGATCTGTTCTTTCTTTTTTCCAGCTGGCCAAAGTGAGGGAAAAAGTAAAGGACGTGCCCAGCCTCACAGCCAGATTTGATGAGCTCTATAAGAAACTGCATGTACATGGACAGGTGACTTCCTACACTCTGGATGCTCTGCTCTGCCACACCCCCAGGGACAGGAGGTCTCACACCCCTCTACTACACAGGAGGAAAGTCAGCCAGCGGACCTTGCAGCCCCTCAGCCAGTTCCTGTTGGCTGAGTAACCCTATTTCCAACTTTTCCCTGGCTCTGTGGGTCCTGCCTCAAGTGAACTGTTGACTTCTCTAAGAAATCAGGCATCTTACTTCAGTGGATGGTGTGCTAACACTTGGTCTCCCCATTTCTGAAGTTACTTGAGTGGGACATGCTGACCAGAGAAGTGTCTTTGTAGTGCTGTTATGAAGATCTGGATGAAGCAAAACAAGAAAGCCTAGCTTCCTCAAAAAGTCATCCCCTTGGATCACCGTTGAGGAAGGAGCGTGATTGGGTCCTCAGTGCAGCCGATAGCACCTGAATGGGGTCCAGCGAGCACCATCAGGAATGAGTTACACAGGAAGTGTGATCTCCCCTCTTGGTCAAGGGAATGATCACTGGTAGTAATGCCCTTGCTGATTTTAGGAGCTCTGAAACCCTGGCCTACCATCATGGGAAACAGCCAAAGATTCCCTCCCTGCTCTGCCATTATTTAATTCTCTCACCCTGAAGAGGACCCTTGAGCCCTCGTTTTTCCACCTGCAAATAATAGTGTGTGTGTTGGCATAATGACATGAAATCTGTACTCAGGGCTCATTACAGTCAAGTTTTCTCAAAAACGAGAGAAATAAAAAGGTACTTGAGTAAACTTCGTGCGATTGTGTTTCTCTATCATACAAACAAAACCACTGTTTAGCTTGTGGAACTGGTGAGCCAAATTTCAGTGATTATTGCTTTGATTGTGGATATACCATGTGCTTTTCAAAAATAATACACAGTAGTGCAAGTGTGGAGTTATGAATTCAATCCAAGTACTGGGGAAAAAAAACCTAATAAAAACCATGTGATGTTTAGTTCTTTACATGGATCATAAATTTGATCCTGTGGTTCATCTCGTGTATCAACAATTTTATCTTCTCTTTGGGTGCCTTACTTAAAAATAACAGCAAAAATTAGTCATGAGATTAAGTCAAAGCTTCCCCATACTCAAGATTATTTGAAATACAGCATCCAATGAATTGTACGTGTGTGGTCTCCAAAGTGCAGAGTACACATTGACTCCACCTCATTGTACCTTCGTTTCTGAAGGTGCAGAGGGCTGTTGAGCCCAGCAGCACACGCTAAGAGTACGGCAGTCTCTCCAGTGCTCCTTCCAGCATGGGGCCTCTTCACTTCATTGTTACTGTGATGCAATAATTGTCTACAGAATTAGAAATTTTAGAGCAAGAAGCAGTTTTTGAATTTGCCTTGTCCAGTGCAGCTTTTGAAACTTTGGAGAAAGGGCAGCAGGGATGAAGAAAGGCAGGAATCAATATACAGAAGCTGAGGTCAGGTAGAGTCCTCTCTCCTGATGGAAAAAAGTGAACTGCCTGGCACTTGTCACACATTTATTTATACAGTCAGCTTATGAATAAGTTCATGGGGCGTTTAAGGGGAGGGTAGGATCTGGGACAGGAAGAAAATCTATTAGAATAGCAAGTCTTGGGGACAAGAGAAGACTCAAGCGAAGGTCATTATGTGCCTCAGCTCCCTGAGCTATGCACACTTGTCATGGGGCTCTGCCAGACTCATGAGAGATACTTGCAGTAAAGACAGCTTCACTCTCAATGTGAATCTTTTTGTGTGTGTGTGTGTGTTTTTTTTTTTTGCAGAACCAGGGATTGAACTCAGGCCCTTGTGCTTGCCAGACAAGCATTTATTCTACTGAGCTATCTTCCCTTGCCCCACCCCAATGTGAATCTTTGAGTTCCCATCTTCTAGGATGAGGAAATGATCTATCCAAATTAGCATAACCATTTTGTGGTGGAGCTGAGATTAAAATCTAGATTCGTAGGTTAGTGCCCTTCCCATATTATTACTTTTTATCTCTTCAAAGGAGACCTTGAAGAGAGAATGCTGTTAAGCTCCTCTGCCTTCATGGGTGGCCATGGCTTGCCTCAGTTTGCTCATTTGGGAAATGGGTATAGCCATACCTTCCTCAAAGTCTTGGTCTAGCTTAGAAATACAAAATGAATTTCTTTAGCCTGTGGTCTGTGAAGAATGAGATTATTCTATTTAAAGCAAGAAACTGCTTTCACAGGAACTTAATGGCTTCTGTATATGTCATGTTTTGTTAAAAATAAATTACACTCAGATTTCTGTATCTTCTAAGTCTTGGTGACTGATAATACTTCATGTCCCCTAGCAGATCTTGGGTCCTCTCTAACATGCACAAAGTGCCTTTAAGTGGTTATAATTCCCTGGGGGAATGTGGCCCTGGTTGCTGTCAAACAGCACTAAAAAATTAAAATGTGGGCAATAAAGAGCAATCATCCCAACCCCTGCTGCTCTGTGTTGATGCTTGTCTGACCAAAAATTGGGCCATTCTCTTTGCTTGCAAAATTTTTACTCACAGAGGTGGTTCATATGCACAATAGTTACCTTCAAATTATAGATGATTCTAATGTCTGAGCACCTGCCTGGCAAGTGCAGGGACCCAGGTTCCATCCCGAGTACTGCATGTCGTGCTGGCCCTGGAACCCTGGGCCCTCTGTGCTGGCCGCGGCAACCGGTCATGGTAACGCATGCCTGTAATCCCAGCACTGGGGAGGCTTGAGACAGGATCACTATGAGCCCGAGCTGAATAGTAAGACACTATATGAAACAAACAAATAGATAAAAGATTTTTAAAAATTAAAAAAAAAAAAAATCAGAAAAACTTCCCTATGTGCTGTGATGAGTATTTTCTTCCTTAAAACTTGGTAACTTGAAAAACTTGTGTTTCTTAATAATCAGTAATTTGTCTATCTGCTTCTGTAAGAATATTTGATTGGATAGAGTGTCTTATCCCTCAACTTTCTGGTAGGTGCCTGTTTCTAATTACTGTGGATATCGATTGCCCCAGAACCCATACATCAGGATGCTGAGTACAGTAGAGAAAAAGACCTCCTGAACTGGGGGATGCTAGCATTAGCATTCTGGGGCTCTACTGCTGTATTTGAAGCACTTCAGATCTTAGGGGTTTAGAATGACACCAGCCAAAAAAAAAAAAAGAAAAAAAAAGGGGGCCAGGGAGATGGCTCAGCGGAATAAGCGCTTCCCTGGCAAGCACAAGGGCCTGAGTTCAATCCCTGGTTCAAAAAAAAAAAAAAAAAAAGAATGACACCAGCCATTGTTATTTTTATTCCTCATGAACCCGGGAACTGACTGCAACATCTACAGATGGCCTCCTCACACCACAGTGGCTGGCTTTAGGAGGGACTGACTGTCCACCAGCACCAGAGAGAAGCTCTTGTCACTTGTATAATCTGGCCCCTGAAATTACATAGCATCACTTGCACAAGAGTCACAGGGAGGGATTATCATCCTATCAGTGATGGGAATGTCAATGAATTTATTCACATATTTTAAACTTATTTTTTCCAGCAATCTCCTTAAACTTTCTTTTTCAATAATACTTGCTAATTAAGGCCACCACCATCAGGCATCTGTCTTACAGCTCCCCACTATCCTGTGGCTAGAGTGACATTGAATTTGACCTTTCCCCTACATAAAACCTCCTGAAGATTTCCTGACATCTTCTGGATAAAGCTCAGACTTAGTGTGGCTTAGAAAACCCTTTGTAGTTTGGCCCACATTTGTGCATCCAGTCACATCCTGTGCTCCTCCACACCCTTCACCCCTGGCCAGCTCACTCTTAATTCATCTTTCAGGACAGTGTACACATTTTTTTTATCTGTGAAATCCTTCTGGACTCACCAGCCCCTCAAGTCCCAGCTAGGTGAACCACCCATGTGCCTCTACTTCACTTACCAAAGCATTTACCATATGCCTGTCGCTGCCTGTTTTCTGTTTTTCATTAGGCTATGGGCCATGTCTATTCTGGCTCCCACCCACAGTTTTCCTGGTACCTAGCACAGTAGAAAAAAAAGTATGAGTGGATTGAGACTTACTGGCATACCAACTCATTTACATAAATTTGGTAATGATGTTCTTTTGTGGTACCTGAATCAAACTCAGGACCTTGTGCCTGCCAGGCAGGCTCTTTTGCCACTGAGCTATCTCGCCAGCCCAGGTAATGATGTTCTTCATGATGCCCATGGACACACTTCTCAGTGGCGTGGTCAGAATGCCCCTTCCATTTTAAATTTGTATGTTGAGATCTTAACTCTAGCATGGTATTAGGAAGTATATCCCTGGGGTAGGGGTGGAGCCTATGTGAATGGGCTGGTTCCTCTGTAAAAGGGACCTGAGGGAACTTGCTTGCGGTTCTACGTGAGGACTCAGCAGACAGCAAAAAGATGATGCAGACAGCAAAAAGATGACAGCAGACATTGCCAGAAGGCAGTCCTTAGGCCGGGAATGTAGCTCAGTGACACAGCAGCTGCCCAGCAAGCGTGACATCATGAGCTCAATTCCCAGTACCATAAAAGAAAAAAAGGTGGCAGACCCTAATCGATCAAATCTGTGGGCACCTTATTGTTTGACTTCACAGTCTCCAGAACTACGAATGATGAATTCCTGCTGTTTACAAACCATCTAAGGTAGAGCAGTTATATAAGGACTGAGCAACTCAATACCAAACACCATGGTTATGTAATGGGTCAACTCACGTTTTAGATTATAAATGTAAATCTTGTGCTTTCTGTTGTAAATGTATACTCACCACTGTTCTAAGTAACTAGTGACTGTTTCTTGCTGTTTGCTAAGATAAAATTCCTGTAACCCTCACCAATTCCTGTTAACAAAGTTAGCTTACAGAGATGACTTCAAAAGGAAATTAAATGGGTTTTAACTTCTTATAACCTCGGGGCTATGCAAGGCTGCCTGCAGGTACTCAGGTGCAAGATAACCAGAAACTGAAACAAAAGCCCCAGGAAATGTAGTTTGAGTAGCGATCCCAATCACTCTGAAAGCATTATTTTGTGTCAGACAATGAATTTGTTTATCAAGCTGAATGTGGTTCCAGGTTTTAAACCCCTCCCTGCTTCCTGGGCTGCTGCCTTTCGGTCCTCTCCTGCATGAGAGCAGACTGGGGGCCCTGAGCTCAGTAATAAAGGGCTTTCCCAAATTCCAATCTGGCTGATCTGGTTCCTATTCTGAGCGATCCATAACAGTCTAGGCCTGACTTCACACTTTTGTTCAGTCCGTGGTTCTCTCTTTTCTCCTGCCTATAATGCTTTCACTCTTTCTTCATCCTTTTCTGCCTGTTTTTCAAGATCCAACTCATGTCGCCTATACATAAGGCATTCCTGAGCTATTTATGGATATAAGTTATCCATGTGTTCTCCATTCATTCACCAAATCTCTACGAAGGACGGGGCACTGTGGAAGTTTCCTCAGATGTCACAGGGAAGTGACAGACACACTCCTCTTTCCAAAGTAGAGTGATTTTAGTCTGCCTTGTGAGCCCAAGGACCTTTTGTTCTACTTACTTGCCTGTGGCTTCTATGCACAGTACTCATTGCAAGCCCTCCTGAAGAGGAGATTTAGTTGTGAAGTACACCAATTCTGAGCATTTGTTGTTGACAGTTTTGTTGAGGATGACCCAAGAAAAGAACAAACTGCTAACCAAGTCATAATAAATGTTACTGTAAAAGATTTAGCTAGTAGTAGAAGTGAGATAGGCAAAATCATAGATTTCATTGTGTCTTTGCAAGTGAACCAAAA